TTGATTCTCAGCACCACATAAAAAAATAAATAATAAAAAATAAAGATATTGTATCCATCTACAACTTAAAAAAAAGACTGGTGAGCAAAATTTTCTTTTAATAAATGTATCCCATACATTATTAAATGAATGCAGTTTCTTGATACAAATGTTTTTTCATGATTTGGGGCACTGTATTTGAAAGGTTCAGAGTTATATGTATTTGATATTAAATAACAGCAAACAAAAACCTATTAATAGGGTATGATGTCACAGCTGAACTCATGCTTGATTGATATACCTTGTCTTCCTTAGTTTTTAGAGAATAACTTTAGCCATAATAGTAATTTGAAGTCTCAAAGTAAGTAATGTCAAAATCATTTCTTGTCAAAATACCTTATCAAGTAACATTATTGTATTTTTTATTAATTTCAACCAAGAGTGTCTCAAAGGTTTAAAGGGCTTATGATTTCATCTATAAGAAAGATATGCAACCAATTTATGGAGGCAGCCTGTGGGAAGTGAGGGATAAGGGGAAAACAAGATTGGTTAGGGGATAAAGGGAGCTTTAATTGCTATCAGTAAAGTTTCTTTTTTTTTTTTAACTTAAAAATATCCAAAGCAAAAATGGCATTCATTGATTTAGGTGGCTATGTGTTTATAAAAGGCAAACTACCAGACAGTACATGCACCAAGAATGCTGTAGAAGTGTTTATTAGGAAAAAAATCATAAAGATCAATAGTAGTTTTGGACCATGTTTATCCCTCTGTGATTGCTGGTCATCCTGTGTGGCCTTGCACAGCAGGACTTGAATTTTTGTGTCCTGGATATTTTAAGTGACATGATGTCTGACATTCTGGCCCTTCCTGAATGAGTCCTGTCCTACCTGCTCCGGGTTTATGGTTAGGGATAACATCAGCCTAGTTTTCATATTTTTTCATATTTTTCAAAAGAATAAACAAAAATGGACAACAAATATATGAAAAGTGTTCAACTTCTCTAGCAATCAGGTAAATGCAAATAAAAACTATGCTAAGATTTCATCTCACTCCAGATAGAATGGCAGTTATCAAGAGCACAAGGCTTGCACCTATAAATTTAATTCTTCTTTATTTTTTCTATTTAACCATTATAGTTATGCATAGTAGTGGGTCTGTCAGGACAAATTCGTTTATGCATGGAATTCGATTTTGGTTCATGTTCCTCCCTTTTCTCCTTCCTCTACAGATATTCCTTTTGCTTATCTATTTATTTTTGATTGGTTCTTTCTAGTTATACATAGTATGCTTTTTAAAAACATTCTATGTTTCCTCCCCTTTCCCAACCTGCCTCTCTCAATCTTCTTCTACTCTACTGATCTTCCCCTTATCTTTATGATATCCGATCCTCCCCTCCTTCTTTCCTCTATTTTGCTCCAGCTTCCACATATGAGAGAAAACACTACCATTGATTTTCTGAGACTGGCTTATTTCACTCAGCATTATGTTCTCCATTTCTATCGCTTTACCAAAAAAAATGCCATGATTTCATTCTTCTTTATGTCTGAGTAAAACTCCATTGTGTGTATATACCACAATGTCTTAATCTATTCATGTATTGATGGGCCTCTGGGTTGATTTAATAATATAGCTATTGTGAATTGTGCTTCTATAAAATTTCAGGTGGCTATATCATTATAGTATGTTGATTTTAGTTCTTTTGGATAAATACCGAGGGGTGGGATAGCTGGATCATATGATGATTCTATTCTTTGTTTTTTTTTTTTTTGTTTTTTTTTTTTTGAGGAATCTCCATACTGCTTTCCAGAGTGGTCATATTAATCTGCAATCACTAGCAATGTATAAATGTACCTTTTTCCCCACATCCTCACCAGCATTTATTATCGTTTGTGCTCTTGATAATTGCCATTCTATCTGGAGTGAGATGAAATCTTAGTATAGTTTTTATTTGCATTTACCTGATTGCTAGAGATGTTGAACACTTTTCATATATTTGTTGTCCATTTTTGTTTATTCTTTTGAAAAATATGTTTAGTTCTTTTGCCCACTTATTGATTGGGTTATTAGGAAGGAGAGTTGATGTGATTTTACTTCTTTACATATTCTGCATATTAATATCCTGTCAGAAGATTTTCTCCCATACTGCAACCTCTCTATTCATGCTCTTAATCATTTCCTTTGCTGTGCAGAAGCTTTCCAATTTGATGGCATTCCACTAATTGATTCTTGATTTTATTTCTTGAGTTTTAGGGTCTTTGTTAAGGAAGTCAGTTGCATCTGTAACTTTATAATGTAGCAAACTGTTGACAGGATTTGCCCCACGTTCATGATGGGAAAGCTCCAGCTCTTCTGGCATGATGTGGGCTGGTTGCTAGGGGTGTAATCTTGCCTTGAACAGATTTATAGTTAAAGAATTTGACAGAAGTCAATTTCAATAAGGCATTGCAGGAAGACAGTCTTTTTTGGAAGTAAACTGTTAAAGAATCACTCTTGGATACTATTTTTAATGTTACAGTTCAATCTAATATATTTGCCGCATTTTTTCTCTGTGATCTTAGTATTTACATTTTTTTTCCAAAATAAAGGAAAAGTTTTAAAAAGTGAAATGTTCAAAATGGGATCTTAGAAACATAAATGTTTAATATGTAATTAGTTCTGAGAGACATAGAAGGCAGAAAAAATAGACCATTTGTTCATTCATTGAAGATTATTTACTGAGTTTGTACTATGTGACAAGGTCTGCCTTAGTCACTGAGGATAAACATTGAACAAATTAGAGAAGTGATCTATTTTCATTTTCCTAAGTGAGAGACTGAAGTAGAAAGTTTGAAAAACAAATTAAGGTTAGAATTAACAGGACTGGGCAACTAATTTGGTACATTAGGGCTTGAAGGATGGGAAAGTGACAAAGATGGTATAATGTATGCCATTCATATACAGTTTATCAAAACTTATATTATCTAAAGTGTTTACAACTTTTTAAGGTTACAAAACCTTTCCCCATAAATTAGCTATTCAGCTCTCACAACAATCTTTAGAAGTAGATGTTGATTTTCTCAAGATTACATTTATCAGACAATGGAGAAAACTAGTTTTCTGCTTCTTTTCCTTATATATTCTATTGTCTTTCTTTAAAAAAAAAACTTTGGTTTTCATCCTTTTATATATGATAATTTTGTCATTTTTTAGTACAAAGATGTAAGTATCATTAAATGAAAATACAGAACCACGTGGAAATTAAGAGGTGCTTTTCACTAAATGAAGCATTGACAGATCATGAAAGAACTGAAGATATCATTAAGTTTTACGGGTATTTTACAGAACAGAAAGCTCAGGTTTAAGCATTAAGGTTCACTAAGAGCTACTAAAATTTTTCTCTATTGAATTCTTATAAAATTATTTGTCGTATTTCATTAAAAGAATCTTTCATAGGAAAGAACTAGTTTATACTAGGAAGTACCTGTCACTGTTTAAAGTTAACCATATTTGTTCCCATTTTCATTCTTATTGGATGCCTTTTACATGTGCATCACTGAGTTATAAACTTTAAATGGTATTTTAAAGATTACTTTACGTTTTAAGTTGCATTTTATTGCATTTCAATTGTGTGACTTTTTTTCTTTTCTTTTCAGGGAGATGCAATAAACGCTTTGCTTGGACCCAAGTCAAACTAACCAGGACAATTCATCATTTATAATATTTTGTTGTTGTTGTTGTTTAAAGAAAAAGGAACAGTGTTCAATACTTAATAGTTTGTATAAATAGGCTGTAAGCTAGGATTTTGATTATAGAAAACAACACTTGATATATAACTTCCATTTAAATGTAATGAACTTTTCAGAAATATATGATTACTTTGTTATGAAAGTAAAAGTTCTAAGAATTTTGTTGAAATCTTAAGGTATTTATACTTAGTCATATGAGTATATATATTACATATTATATTACATATGTATATGCTATACTCATATATCCTGTATACTCATATATATACTATATATACACCCACACTTATAAAATGACCAAATGCATTAGAAAATTATTTCTTTAGAAGCCAAATTTGGAAATTATTATTTTTTTAGGAAATAAAACTGTCTTTATTCATAGAAGATGCAAATCTTGTACACAGAAAATTTAAGGAATTCAGTGAAAAAACTACTAGAATAAGCAATGTTAACAAGTTCACAGGATATAAGAGCAAAATTATTAGAATTACTTAAACCAAATCTTTATAATACAAAATTCCATCAATTTTAATCTGCTCTTTAAGCTTTGTTTTCCAAGATTTATAATTACATAGTTTTTAGTATAATGAGAGCAGTGTATTCTCATATGCAATTTGTAGCCTTAAATTTTATCCTCGTTGATCTGAGAGATGCAGCTATAGAACTTTATTAGACTGTCTGACAAACATAACAGCAAATATCAGAATTATATTGTTTGGCCAGCAGGCACCACCCTCCCAATTCAGTGAGAAAAGTTAATGTGGAACAAACTAGGACATCTTCCTCTGAATCTGCTCTGGACTTTAAGCTTGGACTTTAGTGGACTCAGCAAGAAAATAGAAAGTCTCTGATGTATAGATCACACTAGAGACAGGTTGTAGAAATAGGGGGATGATTCCTCCAAATATAGATCGCAAAGAGGTGGCTCCATGTGATTTAACAAGTCCTGGGTTTGTTAACTGTGTCCTGTGGCCTGTTCTTGTAAGTGGACAGGAGAGCATGTGTACTAAGCTCTCTAGGGAAAAATATACACACATATATATAAACAGAATTAAATTAGTGCAACAATGGGAGCTACCTTTTTCAAGTGTCCATTGCTTCACAGTCTCCATTTCTTTGGAGCTATCTTTTAAACAAAAGCAAGGGAATTTTCAGGTAGATTTGAGAGTTTAGGTCAGGTTATAAGGATTATAAATTTTCTACTGATACAAGTGAATAAGATTATCTTTGTCTTTCTAGAAGATGGAACTTTCTATAACAATTTGTGTACGAAAATAAAAATTTGATTTAAAAATATGCTCCTTTTTATTATATATTTATTTATCTTTTAAAAATGTACATATTTTAGGTTCCTCAAACCTAAATGAGAAAGCTGTTCTGTTCAGATTCTGGACAACTGATCTTAAAGCACTGAACCTACTTTACTCCACCCTTCCCATCCCTGCACTGATAGTCTTAAATGATTCACCCATACTTGTAGGTTAGCATCAATTTTTTAATTTTACCTTTTACCTGGGAATTTCAGAAGGAGTCATTCGCTTGCTTTCTTAGCTAGCTTTGAATCCTTGTAGTAAACTAATTACCATATATATTTTTAAAAATATTTATTTTTTAGTTATAGGTGGACACAAGATCTTTATTTTATTTTTATGTGTTGCTAAGGATTGAACCTGGTGCCTGGTGCATGCTAGGCGAGTACTCTACTTCTGGTCCACACTCCCAGCCCTTACCATATGTTTTTAAGAATTGAATGAAAATTTTGCTTAGCCATTAGCCATCTCATGTTATCCATCTCATGTTATCCTTAAACACACACACCACACCACATCAGTGTGCTGGTTAGAAGTGGCGACTATGCCAGGTGTTCATTACTTCATTTGGTCACTTCCTATCAGGCATCTTTCATACACAACTTACATTATTGTTTTCTGAGAGTATATTGTTAGCTACTCTTCCAGCTGAGATAGGAAAGGAAGATTATACTCATTACTTAAATAATTGTATCATATTTAGTGCATTGATTTGGCTCATCTCTATGGAATAATATACAATTATAGATGATAAATTAGAATGCTTAATATTTATTATTTTGTCACAAGAGTCTCTCTACAAGAAAATGTTGAATCTTACTGTGACTAGATTGAGTTATCAATATAGTAGTAATAATGCATATTCACATTTTTTACAGTTTGCAGAACACTTTCACATTCATTATCCCATGTATCCTCAGATAATTCTATGGGACAAGACTGACAAGTAATTATACTATCATCATAGCTTCTGTTTTCCAAATGTTATAATTAAGGCTTGGAGAGGTACTTAACATGCCAAAGACCATTCTACTGGTAACTGGTCAAGCTTGAACACAAGCACAAAGCTTTGAACAATTTTTACATACTTTCTACTACTGTATAGTAAATGGTTAATGTCCATATAATTTGCTGAAATGTACCCAAAAATTTAGGCATGAATATTTTTCTGCAATTAAGGTTTTATCCAAAGAGGATAATGCTTGTAAACTTGATATTTCTCAGCATTCACCTGCCATTCGTCCTCAACACATATGTATTGTTCTGTTGTACAGCCAGCTCCCAACTCATCTCTCTCCTTCAGCATATTAACTCTTTACTCACCCTTAGATCTCTCTTAATATCTCAACTTGTAAGGAACATTGTTTCTGAGTTCCATCCCATAAGACTAGCCAGACTATATTTGGTCCTTTCATTAAATGTTTTCAAGCCTCCATGGATTTCCCACATAGCACCATTTCAGAAATTATGGTTGAGGGACAATATCTAGAAATGTTTCAATCCTTATTTTTCTTCATTATCTTTCTCCTCTCAAATGACCAGTTCTGTGCTTATGAGTTTAAGGAGACATGTAAAATGACAATAAATCAAAGACATCCATTTTGTTCTATAAAAGCACAGAACTTAGGGGAGGTATTTGGGACATAGACCAAGTGTCTTAAACATAAAAAGAAATACAATGTTTCCTCAGGGATGGGAAAGGTGGGGGAATACAGAAAAGAGGGAGCCTGGGGAGCCACAGAACATAGAAAACCCATGTCTAAAAAACATGTTGCTAAAAAATATTGTACAGAAAGTAGCAACTTAGGAGGGACCACAGTCATCTTTGAAAACTATTCCCTGTGCAACAAGTGATGTGCAGAAGCAACCACGAGCCACTAGAACTGAAGAAGCCAAACACTGAAGAAGCAGCATCTCTGATACTAGAAATCCCTTGGCGCAGATATGTTTCTTGGATGACTGAATTGCTAAACTGAGATTCATACCTGGTATGCTAAATGTCTATTTGTAAATCGTTTGCTTAATATCCACTTTCCTCCTAGACTAAGTTCCTGAAGGGTTAGGGTCTATGTGTTTTGCTTACCACACTGTGTCTAGCATCTAGAACAGTTATCTCTACAGAATAGGAATGCAACAAATATTCGTTGAAGGAATGATTTATCAAATTAGTGGCAAAATTATGGTTTCATGCTTGTTCTATATCACTACATCATTTAATATCTTAAACATAATTTCCTCAAAATACTAACAAAATATTTTAACATCAGAGAAGATAAAAAAAACATTTTAACAGTGGAATATATAGAGAATATAAATCAGTCTGGAAAGTAGATAAATATAGTCAGCTTTTTTGATCTATAACAATGTAAAATTATTTATTTTCCTTTAAGACAAAGGCTTAAAAACAAATCTGTGATCATTGTCTTTTTGCAAATACTAGCATTATCTTGTGAGGCTGTGTTCCTGACATCCATTTTGGGAACAATGTTTCTCCAAGATAAATCACCAGCACAATGCCAGCATTGTACATAATACCCAGATCCACATCCCCAGGTCCTGGTCTTTAAAGAACCTCTTTGCCCTTCATGATTGCCTGTGGTTGCCCTCTCCTTCCCCAGGAGGTACAGATTGTGCTGATGAGCTCATTTCCTCCTTCATGGAACATTTAGGTTTTGTGTCTTGTTTGTTCAGAATTCTGTTCAATACTCAAATCTATCTCCCAACCCATAGAACATTTACTAGGCTATTTGCCTTCATTTCCTTGGGTTGGCATACTTATTTGATGATAAAACTAAAAGGCTGGTAATTTACATGACACTAATTTCTGAATTAAACAGAAAATGAAACATGTCCACTAAGGTGGAACATATAAAACATTGTTATGGATCTTATAAAAATGGGCATTGCTTTTCTAAAAACTCACAAGACATTTAAGTAGCATTCAGAATAACTCATTAAAAATATACTTTTATCATATATGTATTCTCTTTGAATAAGTCACCTATTAAAAGATATGGAATCATTATTCCAGGAAGAACAGGATATTTGAGGGATCTTACATCAGAACTCACTGATTTTTTTTTAAATTTTCAAATTATTGCACATATTTTGATTATTAGGTGTGTGATCCTGGGGATTGAACTCCGTGGCATTCTCCATCTGCCCCCCATGTTGTGTGTGTGTGTGTGTGTGTGTGTGTGTGTGTGTGTGTGTGTGTTTGAGTCTGACTTCAAACTTTCAACCCTCTTGCCTCAACCTCCAGAATAACTGGGATTACAGGCATGCATTAGCACATCTGGCTTGAGTTTTTATTTCTAGAAGTGCAAAGTGACAACAATAAAAGCATAAAAGGAAAATAGATGCTCTGATCATACAAAATAAAGCTTTAAGTAACAATTTTTTTCAAGATATATTTTAACATTGCACTTTTGTTATCCATTCTTTCATCAAGAAACGTAGAAGTGGATTCTGTATCTTGAATATAATGAAAAATGCTGGAAGGAACATGGGAGAGAGGATATCTTCATTTCCTTTAGATACATAACCAAAAGTGGAATGTCAAGACCACATGGGAGTTCTATTTTTAAGTTTTGTAGGAATCTCTATTTCATTTTGTGTGATGACTATACCAATTTATATTCCCACCAACAGTGTGCAAAGGTTTCCTTTTCTCCACATCTTTGTCAATATTGTTCTCTCGTGTGTGTTTGATAACTGCTATCCTAACATGGGAAGTGATGTTCACTGTGCTTTTGCTTTGCATTTCCCTTATGATTAGTGATGTTGATCACCTCTTCATATGCCTGTTGGCTATTGTAAGTCTTTGAAAAAAAAAAGTTCTTTGCCTATTTTTTAAAAATCAGATCATTTTATTATTGTTTTTTTCTGGTTTGGTTTGCTATTGTGTTGTATGTTACTTGCTCATTTTGATTCTTATGATAAGACATTTTTAAAAATCACTAAATGAATGGTAAGAAAGATCCATAAAAATTATGCAAATAGTATTTCAATATCCATTCCACAGATATCTGTAGAGTAGAAGTTGTTAACCAGATTTCAAAGGTGGAGAAAAAAAAGAGAAAAACGATAAGGAATTTCAGTATCTGTAAGGTGTTCAATATCACTAGAACTTTTAGAGTTTGAAGGTATCTAACACAATTGAACCTGAACAAGTAGAGAAAGGCCACATCATGAAACATCTTGTAGGCCACATTAAAGAAATTTGGATGTTTTTCTTGAGGGAAATGGGAAACTATAGGAGGGTTTTAAAGGTTGGTAATAATTACATTTTAGATCATTCTGGGCAGCAGTATGGAAAATTGATTGATGACAAGGCCAATCAAGAATGATTGTTGAGGTCATGCAAGAAGGGATAGACTGATTATGGATCACACAGAAATTCAGAAGGTAAAACTGATGGGATTTGGTGATTTAATGGATGTTTGTATAGAGAAGGTTTTATACAATGGAGACAGAGTGAAGAGTCATGAATGACGCCCAGGAACAGCTAGGTAAATAGTTGTGCCATGAAGAGTAGACACATTAAGAATGAATGGACACAGCCACATCAATGTTTATAGCAGCACAATTCACAGTTAAACTGTGGAACCAACCAAGATGCCCTTCAATAAATGGATAAAAATAATGTGGCATATATACACAATGGAATACTACTCAGCAATAAAGTGGAATAAAATCATGGCATTTGCAGGTATATGGATGTAGTTAGAGAAGATAATGCTAAGTGAAGTTAGCCAAATCCAAAAAACTAAATGCTGAATGTTTTCTCTCATATAAGGAGGATGATTCATAGTGGGGTAGGGAAGGGGAGCAAGGGAGGAATAGATGAATTCTAGATAGAGCAGAGGGGTATGGGAGGGGAAGAGAGGGATATGGGGTTAGAAATGATGGTGGAATGTGATGGACATTATTATCCAATAAGATAATATATATGTATAAAGACACAAATTGGTATGAATATACTTT